TCAATTTTGTATTTACAAGAAAATATATTAAAAGAAGTGTAACTTGAAAATAATCCTTGATAAAGATTCAATAGTAATTGGAAAATTCTAAAAAATATTAGAAGTTTCTTATTATTTTAAAAATCTTTTAATTTATAATAATTTAAATTTTTTTAGGATCTATTATAAGATTATTATTTGAAATGATATATTTTGAGAAGTTTACTTGAATTGTATGAAATACACATTTTTTTATTTTAGTATATATTCTTACATCTATAAGTTTTTGTAATATATGACAAACATGAGATTCATGCTCTTATAAGTTAGAATAGATTGAAATATTATTTAAATAAAAATAAAAAATTATATATAAATTCTTAAAAAATATCATTTATAATATGTTAAAAAAATTTAGTATATTTGTGAGTCCAAAAGACATGATATTATATTTGAAATGTCTCAACCTAGTTCAAAATGTAGACTTGTATTTATCTCCTTCTTTAATGTATATCATATTGTATGCTATTTGTAGATCCATTTTTATATAGATCTTTGTTTGATTCAATTGATCAAAAAGTCTTGATATCAAAGATAAAAAATACTTATTTTGGATAGAAAACTTATTGAATCTTCAATAATTTACATACATTTGTAGTGATTTTATTTTTTTCTTTATAAATAAGATAGGAATTCTTGCTGGAGATTTTGAATGGTGCATGAAATTCTTAGCCAAGTTCTTGTCAATATACACTTTGAGTACATTTAATTTATTTTGTGATATGCTATAAATTAATATAAATAGCAATTAAATACTTTCTTGAAGATCAATTAAGTAATGATAAGGAAAATGCTTTGAAAAAATATTTGCATTTTTCTTCCCAAAAATGTCTTGATAATTCTTATACCAAATCAAAATGCTACTTAAAGACTTTTTACCATCAAAAATAGATATGGCATAATTAATAAAAAGTTAATACTTCTTTTGCATCATACATAAAAGTTTTACACCAACAATAAAGATTTGGCTTTATTAGAACAAATGACTTTTTATCTTTATAATAGAAGTTTGGATTTTATTATTAAAAAAATCAAGGTTACAAGAAAGCCAATTTATTCAAGGATTATACTCCTTTAGCCATAATAAATTTTAAATAATAAAATTTAAAAAAATCTAAAAATATTAAATATTACTAAGCTATTAAGATCATTAGTTGTTATATTCAAAAAAATTTTATGAATAATATTTTTATAAGACAAAAAATGACTATCTAAAACTACTACTTATATAAGTTTAATTTTTTTGATTAAATATTTTTCCTATTATGTAATCAAGTCTATGTCTATAAAAACAAGCTAAGGCTCTTGAATTTAATAGAGTAGAAATTTTATAATTTTTTGATCCTAAATAAATATCTATTATAAAGCAAAGTGAAGGATTTAAAGAAAGAATAGAATCTTTATTAGAAATTGCATAAGAATCTAGCTACATAATTCATATTGTGAGAGGAAAAACTTATTTTCTAACATATTGCCCTCTTTGGCAACTATGCTTTTTATTTTATAATTGCATTGCTTTTTTGGATAATATTAAGCAATGTTCTTAGGTTTTCTATAATATATGTGTAATCTTTCTTAAAAACATTGAATATTTTTATTATTGAGCAGGAAATTTAAAATATATAGTATCAATTTGCATAAGTTCTAACTTTAATGAATAAACTCCTTAAAACTTAGGAATTATTTCTATTACTTGACTTGCATCTTTTTAATTAAATCTTTATTCTTGGTATTGTTAAGAAGTTTGTTGTTGGTCTAAGAAAGCATAAAGCTTCTTATTGTGGAGATTTTTATTGCTTATGTATGACATAATTAGTTTCTATGCTCTCCTTTGTACTTATTTATACTAAGTTATCAATCAAATCCTTCACTTGTACTTAATCTGACCTATCTCACTTTGAACTTATGTAACTCAATATAAAATCAATAGAATGATTTAAGACCTTGTGTAATAGATTAAATATCTTATTTTACCTTCAAATTCTAATTTTTAATGTAATTAATGACTTAAATCATTTATAACAAGAAAATCCTTTAAGCTAATTTTTGGATCATTACTTTTTTTTATAATCCTATATTTAATTATTTATTTATATATATCTTTTAAATCAAATATCAAAATATCTTAAAAATTTATAATTAGGTTTTTAACTTGAAAAAAAATTACATTCCAAGTCTTATAATTATAGCTCTCATAGACACTAAGTTATAATCCCTCAATATTGTTGCTATTGATTTGCAAACTTGTTGGATTCCTTTTGTTTTAGAACTTTGTTTCTTCTTAGTTTGATTAATTTTTGCCTTCAAACTTTGTATAAGCATATATAAAATTATCTTAAGTTTTTTTTCTAAAAGATTTTTTAAATCAAAGATTCCAATCAATTATAATAGACTCCAATCTAAGATCCAAAATCTACCTTCTTTATTAATCAAAACAAGAGATTCAACAACAATGCTTATTGTGTCTCTCTTTACTTGCTTAAGTCACTTTGATATCTTAAAAATATCACCAAGATGTCTCTAAGATGAAAATTCACTATATACAATCTATCTTATTTTTATCTTAATCTTCAAAAATATCATTAAAATATCTCCAAAATGAGAATTGACTACATGCAACCTATTCTATCCATATCATGATCCTCAAAAATATCACTAATATGATTCCAAAATGAAAATATACTACATGCAATCTACCTTGTCTTTAACTTAATCCTCATGGCTCTCTTTTTTGATTACCAATTTAATGGCCAATTTTTTACTAAGAAACAAATAATTACATAAATTAAAATAAAATCCAAATAACATCAATCTAATTGTATATGTAAGTTAGGTATAATAAACATAAATTCCTACTATTTAACTATTAAACAAGCTATATCATGATATCTTATGAAAATTTGATTGTTACCTACAATCACTTAAGCAATAATTTATTTTACTTTGCTTTGATATTGTCAATAATAAATCTTTGACATTGTCTTTTAACCTATATTAAAATTGATTGATAAAGGCATTATTGTTTCAATCTATGTCATAAGTAAGATTTAAGAATTCAATAGTAAATATAATAGCCAATTATGATCTTTGTTATAAAGATGGAAGTTTGATCTTTGCTACCTTTTTTCAATCATTTTTTAAAAAATGTGGTAATAAATAATTTCAATATTGAATTTAGATCATATAAGAGTTGTAAATCTTTTTCTATCAAAAGTGCAAACCCATAGACAATACTTCTCAATAAAAATTCATTTAGAAATCCAACTTGAATAAATATATTAAAATATTGTAAAAGTTGCAACCTTAGATATAACTTGATTTTTTGTAGAAATCTTCAAAATTTTAATTTTTTTCCATCTCATATATACTTATTTTTGCCTCCTTCATGCTTATAGTAGCAAGATTTCTCAGATTCAATTGCAAGGTTATTCTACTTGCTTCTCTCAATTTCACAACTTTTTGACATAGACATTAAATCTCATTTTTCTTCCATAGGTGTAAGAATAGTACCTCTATAATTAACATTGATAATACTTAAAATTTTCATTTTAATTCTGTTAACAAACTCATAGAGATTTATAATAGTTGCAATTTTTTTTTTTTTTTTTTTTTTTTTTTTTTTTTATTTATTTATTTGTATGACAAACAACTTTAACAAATCTAGAAGTCAAAATAGAAGAAGATAATCTATAATATTTAATATCAAAAGATTTTTTTTACAAAGAGATAGTCTACTTTCTTTATAGAAAAGTTAATATTAAAAAAATAAAAATATTAAATTAAAGGTTTGTAGTCTATAGCCTTTAAAGTACAATAGAGAAAAAAGAAATAATCCATTCACTTCTATAATAAAATAAGAATAGTAAATTAACACTCTTGTCAAATTATCAATGATATAAGTCACAAATAATTAAAACATTAATGTACTCTTAAGTTGCTTCAAAAGAATAGATATCCATTTAAAAATAATATGATATTAAAATTGAAATGACCATTGCTAAAGATAAGAAAACTAGAGATTTTTGAAATAAGACTAAGAACAAGAAAAGTATTGATAAGAGTGAAAAAGTCTTTATTTTTGCCTCCATACATACTATATAATTAAGAGCTACATGATGATGTTCTACATGACCTTCAACATGTGTCCAACTTGTAGGATATGTATCTAACTAACAAGACAATTTTCCAGTATATGTGCTATATGGCCAACTTATACTACAAATCATCAACATATGCAATATATAGCCAATTTGTTGGCCTAGTTTTCAACCTAGTAATCAACTACAAATATATATTTATTCAAATCCACATCTATGAAGCTTTTAAGAAGCTATTGTAAAAAATATTATCAAAATTATTTATTTCTATTTCTATGTAATTCTTCTAAATTTAAGTAAATATATATATGTCTATGATACATAACCAGCATGTTGGTTAAATTTTTAATCAATTAGTCACCTAAAAATACTTCAAAAGTCAAACTTGAATTTATAAGGCTTTTTAAGAAGCTTTTTCATAAGATATAATTAAATAGATCTACTATACATACTTTTACCTAACTCCTTATATCTTTTGAAATACCTATATCAATATTAATGTTTATGATTTTATCTTCTTTTTTAGAAACAAATTCTATAAAGAACAATGTTCACATATCAAAGAAGTTTAGAATGTGGCAAATTGTATTTGCTATATATTTTAATTGTTGTTTTCTTTGAAGGTTATTGATATATTTTTTCAAAAATGTTGAAAGAAGATGAAAATTTACCTTGTTATTGATCATTGT